TATGTTTTCTACAGCTGGGTTATTACTCCATCAAAATCTGTCTCAGATTTTCAAGTATGCCATTGAAGTTTGGAAAGCACACTAGGTGGAGGTATAGAAAAACAATCTGGGAACTGCATATGAGCTAAAGTTCAAATGTTCTTCCCTGGTATATAATACTGTTTGTGTTTCTGTATTACTGTATGTGCTTCTCTGAACCATGCTTGTTGCTGAAATACTTTTCTTCAGAGATTATCTTAAGCAGTGGATAAGCTGTCTTTTTTTTTTTGTTGTTATTACAAAGTCTGATTCCATCTAATTTAATAATTCTTGGAATTTATCAATTAAATTTCTTCTCTGGTTCCATCCGCAACATAGTAATTAATGAGTTTTTCTCTAACTTTAAAGGGAGGGTCTCAAAAAATTGCAGCGCCTGAATCAATGAGTAACATACCAACTGAGAACTGGAATATTTCTATGGAAGAAGATAGTAACGAAACAAGTGGCTTATCAGCATCCTGTACTAGCTCAATTGCATTAAATAATGTTTTAAAAGAAAATCTGTGTGAAACAACAGTTTTACTTGGTAAGTAATTTTGAAGATTTTTCTTTTTCTAGGAACAAAGTATTACTTCAAAGTAAATCTAGACTTAGTGACGGATATGTTTTACCTTTACCTTTATATCATTCAAATATCTGGGTAATCCACATAAGCTCTTATATCATTCTTGTTTGCATAAAGCATTGATCTCAAAATTACGTAATTTGAGTCTTTTTTAGATTAGAAAATAATTTGTGACATACTTAGAATTCATTACAGTAGCATTTTTTTCTTTCATCAGAACAATAATTACAAATAGTTCCATTAGAAATAAATACACATGGAAGGTAAAACGACTCAGCTAAAAATTGGCTAGGGAAAAGAATGGAAAAAACTATGAATACAAATTATATTTTGTTCTAGAAAGCTCTATGTTTTGGAAATTCAAATTCAGTATATTTAGAGATTTATTTGTCTTTAAGACTGATTACAGGCCAAGTTGGGATGTTTTTATTTTTTGAAGTATGCTAAGCTTAATAATATGTTTGATTAAGTTCTGATGCAATTTATATTATAAACAAATATTACTTGTTATAATTCTTGAATTTACAGTGTAGTTAAACATGAATTTCATATTTCTTTTTATAGAACGGGAGAGTGGAGATGATCAACATGATCATTCGACTTCTGGATCACTACAAATTTAACGAGAGTTTGAGAAACTCTTGGTAAAAAAAATGTGTTTTTCAAAAACGTTTATAGACTTGAATCTAGCTTAATAAATATATACTTCCTGTTAGTCTTGGTTACAAAGCTTTTCCCTATACAAGATAAAATACACTAATTCTGTTTTTGAACTTTGAGAAGCAGGAAGGAAGAGAAAAAAATGCTTTTTAAAAAGATTATCTGAAGGTGTCAGGTTGTTACTCTTATTCTCTGGAAAAAATGTTGCCTTTGATAGAATGACATTCTTACCTCTTTCTTTCCCTTTGTCCTCTAGTTTGTAACAAAATAAAATCTTATCAGGAAAAAACAAGTTCTAACTACCGATATTTCAAAAATATACTTGGAAGATTAATATAAATATAAATAGCACAAATAAACTATATGGGATATATTACACTATATATGCATAATTATTATTTTGTTGTAAAATATGGCTTAACTTAAATATGCAAAATATAAGTGGTTCTAAAAGTCTTTTGATATAGATCTGAGAGAAAAATATGTAGTGCTATAATGTATGTAGTGACAATTGTCTGCTATTTCAGATGTTTCTTGTTTTTCTTTGTCAGAATTCTACTCTGGGTACTTGTGGAGTTACATTTCTATTTCAATATTTGAAATATTGCTTTATTGGTCTAATGTGCTAGATAGCAGCAGGGTACCTTTATACAGAAACGGAGATATATGCCTTAGGCATATAATTAAATGATATATATCAAATTCAGACCATTGCATTAGTTATTTATTAAATCACACAAAGGAGAAGTCTCTATTTATTACGTTTGTTATGTGTGTTCAAATTGAACTTGTTAGAATACCAGAAAAACATGTAATTTAAAATTAAACTTATTGTCTGAAGTTTGTTTGTTTGTTTGTTTCATAAAACCAGGGCTTCAAATGAGAGAAAAATGTTTTATTTAATAAGGATTTCTGAAAAATATATGTTCTGAAGAGTTCACCCAGGGTAAAAACAAGCCAGATACATGCCATGTTATCAGTGTTAATATCTGTAAGCCTGCAGCTGTCTTCCAAGAAATATTGATGCCATGGTTAAAATTTCTCATATCTTCAGGGTGTAATGTGAGTTTGCCCTTTGAACAAAATGATATGTTACTTGTCGGTTCTTTTAATGTCAAAGAGCTGGAGCAAAGCTGTAACTTTTTTTAGCCAATCTTAAAATTCTGTTTTAAAACTGAGCATTTGCAATGCCTTAAGTACGATACTAGCCATTTTATCCTGTAATAACTATTTTGCAAATTTATCTCTGGGTTTATTCTTTTAAGAATTTTGAAAGCAACGTATGAAATGTGAATTTTGAAAGCAATGTGGTGAAATTGTGAACTTTTTCCCCCAGGACTTACGAAACCTTAAGTTGATTTTTAGTTGCTAAACTAAATGTGTTTCAGCAATACAGATAAAAGGCTATGTTCCTGAGGATTTAGGCAGAATTTTAGAATTTTGATTTTACAATTTATTCAATTACAAGTTTGAACTAACTGAAATTTATTTTAGATAAACTACAAATTATATCTGTAAAAAAATTATACCCTGTGTGCTGCTGAGGAGTGATGACAATGAAAGGCCGAATTGCAGTGCCTCTTAACAGTTTACTCTCGAGGCATGATGACAAAGTTCCCGAAGCGACCTTTTTATCTGACCTTAGCAGCACCATAAAAAAGACAAAACAGTCTATGTTCTCTGCAGCTAGTCTTTTTCTAAATGATTACAAAGTAAACAGCTGTTGCATTTAGTAGTTACAAGATAAACCATGCAGCCTTGTACTTGATGCTCCCCCTGCCCAGAATAGAGATATTTCAATAGCATCACTGTTAATAATTGGACCAATACTACATTTCACATTAATCTTTTTATCTATATTGTTAAATGTTTTTGTCAGTCTACAATTTTAGAATAAACTCCCTAGGAGCAGATTCTGGTATTTGCAAATTCCTTGGGGATTTGCTGTATTTACCATTAGGCCATTTTAAAGATTCTATTGACTCATAGGTTCTGTAAAGGATTAGAAATCAAGTGTTTTAAGTTTTTTTGCAAGAAATTTGTTTTTTTAACTACTTTATATTATGATTTTGCAGGGTATTAGCCATCCCTTGTTTTCCAGTCTTAGTTTTTCAGGGATCTAGAGAGAATATTGGTGGAAATATGCCATTTCTGCCTTTCTATAAAAAATATTTTTTCAAAGCTTGTTGACTGATCCTGACCTTTAAGCTATTGTTTGTGTAAGTATACCTGAGAATAAATATTTCTGCTACATTTTTATATCACATGAAGGGGATGGGATTCTCATTAAGATATTCATTAATCTGTTCTAGAACACTATATAGTATGTATATCACTAATTTAGGCACTATCAATAAGACACAGTCCTCATGAACTAATTAAGTCAAAATGATTGCCATTGGATGACACCTTGAAAGTATCTCCTGGAAATAAAATTGAATGTGTTTTTGAACATCCATTTTTAGAAGACAATTGGCCACAAAAATACTTGGGAGATGAAACAAGTATCCTAAATTACATTGTTGTTGTTTTTTTGACAGGATTTGAAGTGTCAAAATATTTTAAACTAAATGTTTATTAGATATCAAAACATCTATTTTTGTTGTACAAAACTGATTAAATCTTTATACCTGTGTTCCCCTGAAAATAAGACTGGGTCTTATTTTTTGGGGGGCCCCAAAATAAGCACTAGGGCTTATTTTCAGAGTCTTATTCCCCCCCCCCAAATGTACGGGAGACCCACTTCTGCTTGCTCACAGTGGGGCAGGAGGCCATGTGGGGTGCCAGTGCTGCAACCAAGAGGCAGGGCAGGTAGAGCTGCCCCACATGGGCTTACCTCAGGGCTCCCACAGCCAGGCCACCCATGTCCCAACACCTGCCTCACCTTGCAGCCATGGCACCAACATACTGCTCCACCTCATGTTTCATTGCAGCCACAAGCTAGTAGAACTGGGCTGACAGGCATGTGGGCTCCTGCTGCACATGGCTGCTGGTGCTGTTGCCATGGATGGCTTGGCTTTAGGGTCCCTGAGGTAAGCCGGCACATGGGACAGCTCCACCACCTTGCATTGTGGCAGGCTGTGCAGGCTCTTAAGGCTTGCTTTGGGGGAGGGAGTAAGGCTTATATTAGGCACATGCGTAAAAACATGCTAGGTCTTAGTTTCAGGATAGATCTGATTTTCGGGAAAATGTAAGGCTTAGTTTGATGTTTATATCATTAGCATGTATTACTGCTTTTATATCTTTAAAAGAATCTTTTATTCTAAGTTATTGAAGAAGTGCCCCAAAATAGCATGAATAGCATGTTTTTGCCCCAAAATAGCATGAATTTCTCCAGTTACATTTACAGATATCCTTTCTTATTTTTTGTGAAGCTTTATTATGGACTATAGTAATCCAGGAGAAAACTATAAAAGATTTAAGTAACTGTTTTGCACTGTGAAATGATAAGATTTAAGAAATCACTTTCAAAATGCCACTTCTCAATTATCAGAAGCAAATACAGTATTTCACATTAGCAAGATCACTGCCATGATCTTGCTAATGTGAAACTGACACCTACTATTTCATGTTGCATAAAGTTAAATTTCTAGCAATTTCCTATTGACTGGGAATTCCTGGGAGTTTAATGCCATTGATCTTAAACTTGCTTAAAACAATTCTAGATTAAGCACTTGATTAAATTAAACATATACCTCTACAAAACTTAGTTTAAAAATGGTCTACTCATAGTAGCAGCCTGTTCCCTTTGCAAGAATGATTTTTGGGTCTTGTTTATCATTTTTAGTGGGTGATATGTAAGCTCCCAAGTTTTTCTATTTTTGTTTAAACTTGATTTAAAATCATCTGGGACACAGATGAGCATGGAATACTTTGCTAGGTAGGTTGGCACCCATTTAGAGTTTCAGGTTTAACATCAGGTTAATTTGCTTAAAGTTTAAATTAGTTCAAGTCATCAACAAAAACTTCAATTTAATAAAGCACAAACATTTTAATTGCAAGCAACAAAAAACTATACAGAATTTTTTCCACACTAATCAAGTAAAAAAAAGTTCCAAATCAGTCTTATTTAGAAGTCTTTGTTTCTGAAGGATTTTCACCAGTGTCTAGTGTCTTCAGCAATCGAAAAAGTCCAGCTGCTTCTCTTATCCGGCTGAATTCAATACAAAAGGCTTGCACCTCTATAAATAAGTCCTGTACATTAATTATTTTGTTTCGAATCAAGGATTGAAGGAATACACAAACAAGACGTACCAGCCGATTCTAAAGCAAAAAAAGAATGTTTTTTTAAGAAACAAGCTTGAATAATCTTGATACTATGGCAAAACTTTAAAACAAAGTTATCTTGCAATTTATCCAAATTTGCAAGATTTTAAATTCTGCAATTAACTGATATTCCTAATAGCACAAGTATTTACTGAAATGTTGCCATTATTTCAAATTAACTCCCAATTACAAATAGTCTCAACTTACAACCCTTCGTTTAGTGACCTCCAAAGTTATGCCACTGAAATGTGATAGCCAGTCCTCATATTTACAACCATTGTGGCACTCCCACTGTCATTAAAATTTAGGCACTTGGTAAACAACATGTATTTTAGGGCAGCTGCATCTTGGGAGTCCTGTCACTATTTGCAACCTTCCCAGCTGGCTTCCAACAATCCAAATCAACTGGGAAAACTAGATTTGCTTAATGATACCATGATTCACTTAACAACCATGGCAAAAAAAAAAAAAATCAGGTGAGGCTCAATCATCTTGCTTAACATCAGAATTCTGGTCTCGGTTGTGGTTGTAAATTGGAAACTACCTGTATCAAAGGAACTAAGATAAAGTGAAATAGAGTTCTTTTGTTCTACTGTTCTGGCAATAAGCCTTTTTTATGTTTCCCTTTTTATGTTCACTACTTATAACCACAAAGGACTATAGTTAGATATATGCAAGTGCTACATTAGTAGGTTTCTCACAATTTAATGGTGGATTGTTCTTTCTATTCAGTGTAATAATACAGGCTATGGTAAGTGGGCTTATAAATCTGTTTTTATAAAAGAAAAGTTGTGTTCCTGCCTAGATTCCAAGAACAAAGCTTTACATCTCCCACTTTGTTTCTTCTTCTCTTCCCTCAAAAGTGACAAAAAAAAACCCGGATAAGATAGCCATAGCATTTAAATTTATATACCACTTCAAAGTGCTTTACAGCCCTCTCTAAGTGGTTTACAGAGTCAGTAATTGCCCCCAATAACCTGGGTCATTTTACCGACCTCAGAAGGATGGAATGCTGAGTCAACCTTGAGCCACTTGGGATCAAACTATTGGCAGCCAGCAGAAATAGCCTACATTACTGCACCATCAGGGCTGCTCCTACTATAGGATCCAATGATCTCAAAATATGACTAAAGGCTGCTTCTAATGGCTTTTTCCCAAATTTGCCCCATATTTTTGTAAGAGTTTACCAATCAAAGAAGTTATTCCAGAGTACTTAGACCCATAATTCTATCCCAGTGAAGTCATTTAACAAAATAGATTTGTGCAAGAATACGTGCTGATTGACTTATCTCTGGAGCAGGGAATTAGTATAAAACAGGAATTATCAAAAACGGCTTTTTTCTATGATAAGCCGAGTAGCTAACAGTGAAGTCTCTTAATTGATCTAGTTTCTTATGAGAAATTTCAAAAAGCTACTAATTATCTACATAGTGACTCTTGTAAGGATGGTGAAAGCAGCAAATGACTCTTATCATCACAATGATATGCACCAATTGCACCATTATCTAACATTTTAAGATTGGGAAAAAAGCAGGAATAGATTAAGTTGTTTTTTCATCCAATTTCCAATCTAGGTTCACCTTGAGAGCACTGTCATTGTAATAGATACCAACTGGTTGGTCACCTGATGTCAGCCCACTAGGTAAAAATCAACACAGTTGATTTACTTTTATTGAGATATAGGTTATAATAAAATCTTGCAACAAATTCTGAATTAGGGAGGCATCTGCCTGAGCTGCTTCTGAACATTGTGGCTTTTAACCAATGCTTCACCCTGTTTTCTGTAGGCAATGGATTTTGTATGTTTCCATCAAAGTCATTTTCCTTTTCCCCTACAGTTCTGTGTTCATTAAAGTCAGGAAAATGACATATTAATAAAATCCAACATGTAAGTGGAACATAGGCTCAACATCTCACTCTTTAAAGGGGAAATAATCTGGAGAAATATTTGTTCAAATTGGAAGACATAAATATCAATACAAATATAAATATTTCAAAAGATTAAAATCCTTCAAATGTGGAATCAACAGTTATGGGCCCTTGAGTTGTTAAAAATATCCAGAAACTACAGGGCTATATTTATCCTTCAAGGCAACATTCCCATCCAACCAAAAAGTTATTTGCAGCAATGATTTTTTTGTATTTTATATATTCAATAAACATATTCAAGCATATGAATAAATAAATTTATACAGAAGTACTGGAATACTCCATTGTAAACAAATATTTAAAGTATAGTGATGAACAGAATTTTGCTATTGTGTTTATATTGTGAAGAAGCTTTGATGACTATTTCTGTGGTTTTTGTTTATGCCCTTGGTCTTCTGTGTATGCAACAATACATCATAATATGCTGTATGTGAAATATTATGCTGAAACATAAGGAACTAACTTTTTTTTAGTCAAAAGGGTTTTGCAGTTCTTAAACTCTGCAACCATAGTTTTTGCTTCCCCGAGTTTTTTTTTACTGCATTTTCAATTATTTTATTCAAAAAGACTAGTTTCTTTTTGGACACTTACCTGCATATACTTATCCTTAATTTGTTCACAAGTAGAAATACAATTAGATATATAAAGATGAATAAATTCTGGAGGAAGATCAACTGCTGTAGTGAGCCTGTTGAATATTTAAAAGTTATTTTCAAATTGGCCATCTTTGCTGATAATCCATCTGTCACTTCAGTTTTACCATAACAGAGAGCCAGTTTGTCTAGTGGTTAAGGCATCACCCTAGAAATCAAGGCTATGAATTCTAGTTCCTCACGAAAGCCAGCTGGGTGAGCTTGGGCCAATTAGTCTCTCTCAACCTAACATACCTCATAGGGTCATGTTGTTATGAGTAAAATAGGAGAAGGAAGGAATATTAGAAATGTTCATCATCTTAATTATTTATAAAAATAATAAAGGCACGATAGAAAAATATTTTCTAAAAATGTGTTTTTATTAATATATACATTGTATTCTTGTTCTATTATATTCCGTGTTTGAACATTCTGTTCCTTTAGGACTTTTTGGGCTGCTTATCTTTGTCCACTAATAAAGAATTCATCTATAATCAATTATCTTGCCCAATTTATATAACATACATAAAAAGTTTATAGGCCCTAACAAGTGACGAGCTAATCATTCTTCATCATGCTTCATTCAGTTATAGCTAAATTATATTTTCCATCATATCTGCAATTGTATAGTGTAAGTTTACACTTCAGATAGAATATACTGCTAAGATATCCCGACAGAAGAAGCAACATTTGTCCTAATTTTAAAAAGATGATTGATTAGTATCCTATAGTCCACAAGCTGCTTTTACATTGTTTTTCAACTAGAACAGTAATTCTGAGTGATTGTATATGACTGTTGCCCTATTTCCTTCAAAATACTTGTTATATCTCTTGTATTAAAATAAAGCACCTAGCATGACTAGCAATACTATTATTAAATGTAGTAATACATAAAATATTAAAAAGCTAAATATTAAAATAACATACTCTGCTAGAGGACACGGAGTAAATGTAGTGTCCATACATCCTCCTTCCTCAGAATACAACTAAATAATTGGTTAGATTATGGATATATGAATATAGTTCACATCAAAATATTCTATTCAGAATGTTATCTTTCCCCTTCATCAAGGGAAAGGAAACTTTGCAGTCTTTAAAAGAATGAACAATTGTTTTCAGTCACACCAGATTGTGCCATTATGTACCACTACAGCATGTTTAGGTATTGGCTTTTTATAAACTAAATGTAGTCAAATATTATATATGAATAGCTACTGTGTTAAATCATGGTACCAAAGAGTAAATATACCTGAAACGTATCTCAATATTTATCTCAAATTTATCACCAATACAAATTGTCCTGACATTATAAATATTACACTGAGTTAACCATTTTTGAGTCCAATTAAATAACTGCAAGTGTCTCATTAGGACATCATTTCCAGGCAAGACTTATAATTCTCTTTCCCCCAATATTCTCCCTCCCATGCATATAGACAAGTTCTGCTCTATCCTAGTATAGTATCTGAAATTGCAATTAGAACACCAACATAAGCATCATTATAGAGTACCTCCCATAATCATAATTAGCCATTTATACAGGAAAACAAGTGTTACTAGAATGGGTAGTAAACTAACCTATAGTTGTCCTAATATCTCAAAAGGTCAAGGGCTTAGGACTTTAGGGTATATTCCAAACTGCATCTTACTTTCTACACAACCTGTGAAAATCAAATTATAGGTAGTTCTTGACTTATAGTCATTCACTTAGTGACCATTTGAAGTTACAATGGCATTAAAAAAAATGACTTATGACTGGTCCTCACACTTATGCAGCCTCCCCATGGTCATGTGATCAAAATTCAGATGCTTAGCAGCCAGCCTTTTTAAAATGATGGTTGCAGCATCTCAGGTCATACCACCATTTGCGACTTTCCCAGCAAGCTTCCAATAAGCAACAGATTCGCTTAACAACCATGTGATTCACTTAAAAAACTAGATTAAAAAAGTCATAAAATTGGGTGAAATTCACTTAACAGCCAACTTAGCAACTGAAATTCTGGTTCCAGTGGCAAGTTGAGGACTACTTGTACTCCACTAATACAATCATTCAAAGTATAATTAATGGGAAAAAACTGATGCAATTTTGTAAATGTTCACAGAGATGTTGAAAAACCAAGCTTGTTGAACTAAATATATACAATTAAAGCATTTTACTTACCGATTTACAACTTCCATTGAATGTAGAGACATGTCCATGTTGACTAATACTGAAAAGTATTCAGTTATCTGACTTGATTGCATTAATTTAAGCAGCATTTCTATAGCTACTAAAGGATTGTTTTCCACCAGATCAGGCAATTTGGCAGGAGTGAGGCCAATATGGTAAACAAGCTTAGGATCTTTCTCCAATTCTCCAAGAAGCTGCATTTAAAAAATGTAAAACTATTAACAATTAAAATATTACCTTTCAACTTATTTATTTAAATTTCTAGGTAAAATAAAATTATAGAAAAATTACAGTAATTATTGATGGCCAATATGGCATAATGTGCAAAAATGAGGGAGATCGCCAGTAAAGGTTTTAAATATTGCTAGTAAAAGTGATTTCTCTTGCGCTAATAGTTTAAGCATTCATGTTCTATTTAATAAAATTAACACAAGGTCCAAACATTAAACAAGTACAAAAATCTACAAGCTACCAATTTAAATAGAGTTCCTTAGGACTCTATTGTATCCCCCATCTGAAGCCAATAAAAATCATATGAAGCTTGAGAGACATGTGCCATACATACAATGAATTTAAACTCAGTCAATATAAAGTTAAATAAAAATACAATTTTAATTTCAATAAATAAAACATTTCAATTTATTAATTGGGTTTTAGTCTTATCTGGATGATTGTGTTCACCATAGCCTGGGTATTTAGTCTTATCCTAGATTTGTAGATTGTAGCTATGGCAAGAAGCACTCTGAAAAGTTTAGGAAATTGCAATCGCTTCACAAAGTGGCTGCTGGACTAGAAATTAGTTTAAGATAGTGCTGCTCTGGAATCATGATCTCAACTATTGATTTCTTTTTTTGGCAGATTTAATGTTGACATTAAGCCATAAAACAGTACGGCTTGGTAACCTGAGGTACAACCTCTCCATTATCTGGTTACCTGAGAAACAACCTCTCAATTATAACCTGTCTAGATATTAAGAACTGCAGAAGAAACTGTTTTTGAAGTTGCCCCTATGGTCAGGAACTGTTTACAGGATACGAAGAAAATGGCCTTTTCTGCTATTGTTTATTCATTAATTCATCAAATTTAGCTGCATGTAGATTGCATTATAGTAATCCAACTAGATCAGGCCTCTCAAACTGGCAGGCGGCCCCGGCCGGATACGGCCCGCATAGACCATACCCACCCCAGCTCCGCAAAGGCAAAAACTACCATAATACATCACGATACAGCCCACATGACAGCGGGTTTGACACCCCTGAACTAGATGGTGACTAGGTTGTCTACGTGATTGAGTAGAGCCTCTCAAGCTAGGAATGGGTGCAATGGTACCCAATACAAAGTTGGTCCTTCCTAGTCATGAGTACTACCTGGTCTTTGAGCAGAAGTCATGAATCTCTAATGAAATACATGAACGATCTTACAAAAAGAGAGGATCTGCCCAGGAAACAATAAGCATGATCCTACAGTTACTTAATAGTCAGACAAAAAATTAAGACTGATCCTTATGGATCCAATACTTAAAAATGAAAGCAAGAACTTTATGCTTCCAGACTTGCAAGAATCTGTTAATATAGTCTTACAACCAAGTAGAATTAGTTCATCTTGTCATATTTCCAGGTGGCTTTGCCTGGGAGGATGCACAGTCTTGTTTCCTCATATTGTGTATGTGGTCTATCTGGGGAGTTCAGCCCATCCAGCAGCCCATCCAAAGATGGTATAGTCCTAGAACCAGCAAGGCTCAAAACCCAAAACAGGATAACAGGACAGCTATCTGCAGATGTAATAAGGGTAGAAAAGTACTGACACTTTACCACTCTAACCACTACAAGGTAGACCTTAAGAGCAATTCTAACTAGTCCAATCAAGTTCTCCCTCTATAAAGCGGTGGTGCTCTATTTGTCTCTTCTCTTGCTTCATCTGCCTTAATTCCTCTGTAAACTACAGCTGTTTTCTCATTAAAATTAGCAACCAAGGCATTAAATGGGCCATGCAGTAGACTAGCAGGAATAGCCCCCAGCTTTCTCTGACAATCATCACAGTCCCTCAGTAGCCAGAGTGAACTCATCATATCGTTCCCAGATTACAGCACACAGCTGTTTTGTAATTGATTGGCTACTTCTTTCTTGTGTCTTTAGGAAGATTCTTTTTACCCCAATCTTTAAAACCAATTTTAATTATGTTTTAATGATTTAAAAATTAACAAAAATTAGTGAACACTGAAAAGTGCTTTGAGTTCTCAGTTTCAATGGGAAGGCAGTATGTAAGTCAAGTCAATACAATAATCTTAAAGCACCAACTCATGGAAAGGTTACAGGGGAATGTTTTTACTTTTTGATGTGGTTACTGAATTGTTAATTTTATATCACAATTTTGGGATTCTAGTAAACTTGAGCTAGCTTTAATTTAGTTAAAATTAAGGTATTATTTTAATAATAAAATTAAACAAGTCAGCAATTGATTTCATACCTGTGTTTGTTGCTGTGATGACAAAGGACTTTTGAATGCTTTGGCCATGATTCGTTTGATTTCCACTCCAGCACTATTTTTAATACACATTGACTTATCCCACTGAATTGTATGATCTGGCTCTATTGGATTTAACCAAGCTAACTCATCTTCACATATATGGAGTGGAGGTGGTGGGCGGATGAATTCTGGTCGAAAATGACCTGGAAAAATATATTACATTCTTTTTAAAAAAAATATCTTAAAAGTCAAAATATTTATCCAACAATCAAAATGTTCCCAAGTATATTATCTGTTTTTATACATTATCTTATTCTTTGCGGTTTATTTCACAATATATAGTATAGTCTATTATCTTTTCTATAAACTGACAATCTCAAGCATCTTAGACCAGCATATTTCTATGTTCATCTTTCTTAGCATCTATTGACCCTAATTTTATGTAAAGCAGCATATTTTTTGCAGAGATATCCTTTACAGAACTCTCCAATGCCAATTAGGATAGTAATAAAATAGTAATATGTCACTATGCCATACTGTCCAACAAAACTATACTCTAGGAAAGCAAAGCATAAGGAAGAGAATTTAAGGCCATTAAAAATAACCAACTGTATGATTCTAAACAAAACATAACACAATATAAAATATCAATCTGAATGGTAGAATATAGTGCATGTTCATGCAAAGTCAATGTAGTAGCTAAGACACTGTTCCATATTCAACCTGGAAAGCTATAATGGTAAACATGTAACCATCTTTTCCTTATACCCTGCTTTTCAAATTGAAGGACTACATTCATGTGAACAACACTAACTATAAACACCAATTTGAGATATAAACATGAACAGAAATAAGGAATGGAAAATAATATCATTATTTAATTCTTATGTTGTAACATAAGAAAAGGTATCCCAAAATGATGCATACTTTCAATAGGTGGTTTTGGTCCACTCACTAAGGCTTCAGTAATCTGGGATGCAACAGAGCTGTCAAAACCAGAATTTGAAGAATCTGGATCAGGATCACTGAGAATGCTAGGAAAGCTAGCTTTACTTTGTGTTGGCAGCTCAGACTGACGTTCTGAAAGAAAAAATAGATTATTCAATTTTAGCATCCAAAATCTTGAATCACAAGAACAAAAATAAACTTGTTGACAAATCTACACTATTTCTGTTAATGAAAAATTGAGATTATCTGTAAATTTAGGCATCAGGATAGAAAGCAGGAGACCGTAAATTGTAGTCCCACCTTAGCTATGAAAGCCAGCTGGGGGACCTTGTGCCAGTTGCTCTCTCTCTCAGTCCACATCACCTCACAGGATTGTTGTTGTGGGGAGATGAGGAGGCAGTTCACCACCTTGAGATATTTATAAAATAACTACAAATATAAACAAATCACTCCTTCTTTTAAAATTAATATTGTGAGTTCCATAACACATCCTTCATGTCTGCAAAATTCTATTGTTTTCTTGTTTACACCTCTTAAGACCTGAAAACCCTGTGGTTCCTATTAAGCAACAATGTTATTCTAAGCCTTCATATAGCATTCTTCATAGCTGAAAAGGAAACATTTAGTCTCCCATGTTACATTTTTAAAATATCAAATCATTGCATTATACTTTTTAAACTGTAAACTTGGCACCTGAGAATCAGTCAGTCCCAGTTTCTGTATATAGCGGTAACTTGGTAACCAGCTGCTTTGAAACTCATTATTTTGTTACTCAAGGCATTTTGATGCAAAAAATTTATCCCGGTACTCATTGTTTGTTTGGTACTCAATGCACAAGCTAGAACTTGTTAATGTAAGTTGTCTTGTGACTCACTGCATTATTCCTTATAGGAAAAATTAGTTTGGTAGTCGTTTTTAGTAGTCATCCAGCCAGAACCAATTAATAATGAGTACTGAGGTACCATTGTAGCAGTTAAATGGTAAGCAACTTATTGACAGCTATAGAAAAAAAATCTGAATTTTATTGTCTGGAGACAGACTTATATACCACTACTGTTTATAACAAAATTTACTTTTAAAAGGACAGACTTAAATATAAAATAAAATGCAAGCATGTAATTTCTGTAATGTCCATGCTCAGGATTAATTTTTAGGAAGGATTTTGATCATGTTAGTTTCATTTTAACATTCAATATATTATTTTGAAGTGTGTGGAATAATCCTAAGGAATTAACTTCTAAATATTAAGCTTGGATCACTCATCCCAAGATACAGTGACCATAGTTACTTTTTTAAACCTCAAAACAAAATGAATTTAGCCATATAATGTATATTGCAAATAATTGCTTATAAATGGTCCATCAAAACTAATTTACTATTATGTGTGAGCTATGCTTACTGATATAAATGGCATGAAGCTACTATCCATGCCTTTCTCACGCTTCTGATAAAGATTAGAAAAATAAGCCCGTGTTACTCACACTATATTTTCTTTAGGTGAAAAGCAAAGGTAGCAATGTTAGCCTTCAGAAAAAAAAATCAGAGCAATTTCTTTATTAGGTCCTTAAGACCACAAAACAGAGTGCAAATTTTCAAGTTCTCTGGAGCTCTTTGAGAGCAAGAATGTAAATAGAACAAATACAGGAGAAAGAGACTGATTTTCAAATGACCAGGTCCACTAAAATATATAATTAATAATCTAAGAATCAACTTAAAAATTAAAGCAATGTTTTGAATTACTATCACAGTTCTTATAGCACATTGCTATAAGAACTGTGATAGTATTTGTCACTTCAATAGGAGTCGAAGTGGCTCATGTGGTAAGAAGCTGGGTCTGCGCGCCACTGAAGTTGACAGCTCGGTGGCTTTCCATGAGTGAATAAACTGCGAAGGGACAAGAAAGGAGCCTCTACCAATTGCCTACCAGCATTCAGGCATCCCACGGGTAAAAAGAACACTGCTCGAAAAAATTCTTTTCACAGAGGCAGCCAGCACCTCAGTGATTTCTAGCTAACACGTGCCATATTATGCTAAATAAATAAATGTCACTTCAATAATAGATATTAACACAGGAAAGGCTTCGAACTTTGCAATTCTCACTATGCACAAATGACACATAACATATAGATTCAGTATTTCTATAAAAGAATAGTTTTTTCATAGGATTTTTTTAAGTATAGGGTGTTGATTTTCAAATAATGACAAAACAATGAAGTATTGCTATGCGTTTTGTTGATCTATGAACAAAAACACACAGTGACACCATAGCAAATTGGAAACCATTTTTACCTTCTAATATGTCACAAGTTATTTCTCCAAAACTATACATAATTAACATTGCAGAAACCCATATGATTAACTGCAGGCAAAACTAAAAAATGTGCTATGGAGTTATGAGGAAAAAGAAAAATATTCACATGCAAGTTTAAACACATTTTATATTTCATTAAAACAAAGATCTGCAGGAATTATTTGTTACCTGCTAATGCTAACTGAAGACCGCTTATATCCACAGATTGGCCCATATTTCCTACATCCATCGATACAATCTGTCTTGGAGTCTTTTTGAAGAGTTCTCTAGGAGGGGCCAACATCAACTGGGAAAGAAAGAATCGTTCTGGTGGAGTAATTGCGGGCAAAAAGCCTTAAAAAAAAGAAGTTATTTTATAGTACCAGCAATTTTCAAAGAAGTTGTAGTATTTCTATTGTTATGAGCTCAATCCAGAAAGGTATGAATTCAGTAAAATTAGTATTCTTGCAGATAAAAGCAGAAGGGGATTCTCACCATGCAACAACCACCCATCTGATAGTCCAGGCTTCCTAGGCTGTCCAAAATCCATTCAGGAAAATTTGGGAGAAGAGATTCTAGCAGTGCTAAAAGTGAGGTTCTGGACTGAGGGGATTGTGAAAATACATTTTTCCTTCTGTCTTCAAGACTACCAAGTAAGCAGAGTGGAAGTGCCCATTAAGAAAATACTAGGTTAGCTTTTCACAAGTGACATCTCCTTTTTTTGTATGCTAAATCATACAATAAAATGAAATACAAAGCTTCTGTTCAGCTAAGAGAATGAAAACCATAGAGAAGCGACAGAAATAATGGATGACAAAATGTAAATAAGGCAGGAAAAAGTCCACCACCATCTTTCCCAATGTGAAGGGAATGCTGCTCACATGACCATAATGTATATACCATTGGCTATTTTCATATGCTCCATGTATAAGGGTTCCATGATATCAACAAATACAAAACATATCTTCATGTATTGCCACAATTCATTGATCTTATCCATAGATAAATCAAATACTGGCAGTTTGTTATTTATGTAAACAAATCATTAGCTGTTATTAATCATTTCTAGTTAACAAACAGAAAAGCCAAAGGAAACATTACTTCCAGTATGAGACCTAGTTTCATACAAACATAGCTGAAAGTCATGTTTGATAAATATTTATGTACATTGAAGTTGCTGTACAAATACTTGTTAACAAAAAGCATGCTGATAAACACAGAATACATGCTGTCTACTTTCATTTCATGTGGACATTTTTATACCAAAACCTACAGGTCAATAAACTGTGTAATGCATAGATGGTTAAAGCAGAATAGAATAGGAATGTTTTCTAATCTTTTATCAGGTAACATTTAGCATTAAACTGGAGATCCCAGACTCAACAAGCAAAAGTAACTTGAGATATCTGAAAAGAATTAATGGAGGATTGTAGGAGGAGCAGTTATTGCAATTAGATTTAAGATTATGTCACACACCAAAAGGCAACATTGAACCCCTGATAACAAGAGAAATTATTCCTCCCAATCTGGTTGAAGCAACTGAACTAGGGTTGCCCCCTCAGTTTAAAAGAGGGGAGGAAGAAACCCGAAGTTGCTCAGACATTACAACCCAGCCTTCAAAGTCTTTATAGAGATTCTCAATCATTCAGGTTATGGTTGTCCCAAAAGTGCTTTTTCAGGAAGCAACTGGACTTTTTTTTTCTTTGAAGACGTTTCGCTTCTCATCCAAGAAGCTTCTTCAGCTCAGAGCTTCTTCTTGGATGAGAAGCGAAACGTCTCCAAAGAAAAGAACAAGAAAGCCCAGCTGTCTCCTGAAAAAGCACCTTTGGGCCAGCCTTCAAAGAATTCATGTTGCCTCCTCCCTCCATTTTCAAAACAAGTTTCATCTTTTTAAGTACCCCGGGAGAAAGGGCGCCGACCCCCCCCAATGGTTATTCGCCCAGGCCCAACCGGAGGCCACGCGAGGGAGCTACCTGAGAGCGGCGGCTTTTCGTTGTCGTCCCCCCCGCCGCCGCTCCCTGCCGCTCCGGGCCCCGAGCCGGCGGGGGCGCGCTCGGGGGGCGCCGGATTCAAGAGGTGGGCGAAGATGGCGGCGAAGGGGTTGGCAGCGAGCGGCTCGGTACGGTACATCTCCCAGAGTAGGTAGAGGGCAGTCAGGCGCTGCGGCGCCGTGGGCAGCAGATCCGGCTGCTGCAGCAGCAACACCAGGACGGAGCCTACGCGGAAATGCTCGGCCTTTCCGAAGTAGTGGTGGAAGGCGGTTGAGAGGCCCTCGAAAGTGCTGCCCCCGGCCTCTTCAGACACGATGCTCAGCAGGCTCGTCAGCTCCTTCGGAGAAAGGCTCATCTTTCCCGGCAGCGACGCGACGGTCTCACTGTTGTTGCTGCTACTGCTGTTGCCGCTGCTACTATAACCGGCGACGGAAGCAGCGCCGGACCCACCACCGGGAATCGAACCTGCCGCCACTTCCACAGCACGGCCAGGCCCGGGACTGAGGCGAACCCCACTCGCTAGCATTCAGCTCCACCCTTCCCGCTCTAGGCGGCCGTCTGCGCGCGCCCGTGCACTCGACCTACCTAGCGACTCCTCCCCTCATTATTTTGTTTTCCCTTCCCCGCGCGCGTGCCTCAACGAGCTGCTACTCTCCACCACCCCTCCGATTCTTTTTTTCCCCCCCACTCCCGCGTCCCCCGGGTTCTTTTTCCGCCGCTGCCGCCGTAAAGCGATTTGTAGCACTTGAAATGATTACTCTTTTTCAGTACTGTCGTAAAGCCAGGAAAACAGGAGGAGGAGGAGGATATCGATAGCGCAGTGTTTCTCCACCTTAAGATGTATGGACTTCAACTCCCAGAAATCCCTAGCCAGTCATGTCCGGGATTTGAAATCCACACGTTAATATTTGCCAAGGTTTAGAAACACCGCCATATAAGAAAGAATGGAAACTGGGAGCTATTTCATTAGCCGTTTAAAGACGTCATCTCAGAAAAACAAAAGGAAAAAATTGTTGTCCTTGCGTGTTGATTTTTGAAATCTGGAACGAATATGTCGCTTTGTTAATAGATTGGTAGTTTAAGTTCCCAATAGAACTTTAAATAAAAAATAGGCAACTCGGTCAATCTCATCTTAATATTTAGAGGTAAGAACGAAGAACTTTTTTACACCTTACAATGTAAAATTTTACATTGGGTTTAGGTACCTCCCCTATTTGACATCTTTCTTGATCTTGAAAAGCTAAGCTGGATCAGACCTGGTTAGTACTTTCTGGGATAGCTATCAAGAAATAGACCGTAAACTATAGCAGAATATTGGGGGGGGGGGGGACGGGGGGCGACACCCTAAGAATACAATGGCAACACTACTTATTTATTTTATTTTATTTATTTATTTATTTATTTGATTTGTCAATTGTTTACAAGATAATAAGTATAAGTGTATACATAGTTGTGAATACATGAGATGGGTACATATAAGAAAAATAAAAGAATAGAGAAACAATAGGACAGGGACGGTAGGCACGTTGGTGCGCTTATGCACGCCCCCTACAGACCTCTTAGGAAAGGGGTGAGGTCAATAGTAGACAGTCTAAGGTTAAAGTTTTTGGGGTTTGGGGAAGAGACTACAGAGTCGGGTAGAGTATTCCAGACATTGACTACTCTATTGCTGAAGTCGTATTTCCTGCAATCAAGTTTGGTGCGGTTTACTTTGAGTTTGTATCTATTGTGTGCTCTTGTGTTGTTATGGTTGAAGCTGAAGTATTCATTGACAGGTAGGACATTGCAATGTATGATTTT